TGCAGCTGCAATGAGCAGAACACACCTGTGCCCACATGCCTGCAAGCCATCCATCTTGGGTCCTCCGGAACCCTATGCCATGGCACATTTACATGCTGTACATTGTAAATGTGCAAGAGGCATACAGTCAAAACTTAGGATTAAGTTGCAAGTTGAAAGATTTTACAAAGTGACTAGCAATACACTTGTAATGTTTTCATATGTGTTTAGAATGTATTCTTCACTTTGTGTTTACCAGTTGGACAGAGAAAAAAACTAAACGACTAAAGTATAGAAGATTGCCATAGATACTGTATGAAGTATTAATCTACACAGGAATAATCATGTATACCTGGGTTATCTGAACATGGATATTTACGTTTGGGCCTTCATGTTTATCTGTTCTACATTGTCTATGACCACCTTAATTAAGGGAGGGGAGCCCGGAAAGTGGAATACCTGCAAAAGGAATAAAGCTACACTATGTCCCTAAGAAAAGACCTCTCTTTTTAAACTGCTCTGTGGATCAGAGTTTTGGTGGAACAATACTTAATTAGTTTGGAATTTCTTGCAACTGAAATCTGCTGGAAAATGTCGTCCTCAGCCTTGGTGGTGTACCTGTCTTTAAAAAAAAAAAAAAGCCCGGTGGACTTAATCAGATGATGTCAGCACCCATGTAAGTCCAAGAAAACGGATGATACTTTCATGAGGAATCTGCTGTTCTCTCATGCTGGGAGAAATTGCTATAGTTTAGTTCATAAAATATAGGTTCAAGTAGTAAATCAGGAAAAGCAATGTGAACTGTTGAACTTTTCACACACATTCTACATCTCCCAACCTATATTTTATGACTGTAGTGTTTGTCAGCCACATATGTCAATGGATTATGTAATATTACCTGTTATTTTTTCTAGATGGCTATTAAAAAGGGGGAGGGATAACATTATGGAGGTTTGCAGAGCAACATGAGTTTTATTTGTGATTACAATATAGTATTATGCTTAGGTTTATGTTGCTATATTGTTTATATTGCTCAACAAGTGCAATTTTACTTTCTTTAACATGAATTTATACATTTATTTGCACTAATCAGTTTCTTAGCATGTATTAGTCATTTAGCAGAGACCACTATTGGTACATCATTAATGAGAGAGTCTTTTTACATACAGTAGCATACTATGCCTATGCAGTTTGCTAGGTTTTTATTAGGGCTGGTAATGATTAAAATTTTCGTGTTCGATTAATCTAAATTTTTTTTAAATCGATTAATCCATTAATTTTTAAATCGATTAGATCCAACTACATTGGCCTATACACATACAGCACAGCAATGAAGTAATAAAATTAACTAGGATCACACTAATCCAGCATGTTTTTAATCTCACGTGCCCCACTCAATATGGCCACCGCTTGAGTGGGGCAACTCAGAATAATAACGTGCTGGATTAGTGTGATCCTAGTTCATTTTACTGTATGTATATATATATTAGGGCTGTGGAAATGAAAGATTAATTTCTCGATTACGTGACGTCACCGGACTCCTACCCCTTCGTTAGCCAACGGAGCCACTTGGGCCGGTGAGTTTGCCCAAGAAACTTTCTCCACGAGCGCCAGCCAAGGCATTAGCCTATACACATACAGCACAGCAATGAAGTAATAAAATGAACTAGGATCACACTAATCCAGCACATTATTATTCTGAGTTGCCCCACTCAAGCGGCGGCCATATTGAGTGGGACAACTCAGAATAATAACATGCTGGATTAGTGTGATCCTAGTTAATTTTATTTCTTCATTGCTGTGCTGTATGTGTATAGGCCAATGTTGTTGGATCTGCATGTGCGTTATAATTAATCGAAATTAATCGAT